CTTTTCTTTTGGTAAAGTTTTGGAGTGCTTGATTGATTTCATTTGCATTTTCCTTTACATGCGATAGGGAAAAAAGCCTGCTTTTTGACAGGTTTCTTTTTCTTTTAATCAATCTGATTCTTTTAAGACAATTCCACACCACTTCCACCCAAGTTGCTATGCTCAAAACAATATCTTCAATTTCCATAATTTCCTGTTGTCTTCCCAGAATATCTGGAGGATGCCCAAATTGTGTATACATCCTCCCCAATTGAGGCCATTGGATTAGTTACAGCAGAATTAGAGAATAGTATCTTCCAGATGTTTTAGGCTCTGCGAACAGTGTATTTCAGTATTGCTAGTGAAATGTCTGTAGTTACAGCCCAACAAAACATGGCAGTATTAGATTGCTTGCTCTGGTGTAGAGGAACTGAATATAGAATGCTTTTGTATATGTGTATGCATGCATGCAATTGTCTAACTAGCCTGTTTGGAAGAGGAAAATCTAGAACTTGCTTGCTTTTAAATGTCTCTGGGACTTTTGATAGCACTCTGTGGTTTCATTTTAGGGCTTCTGGAACAGGGTAAACACCTGTTCAATCCAAAAACAATCTCCATGAGCCGCAGACATTTCTGGTGTGAACAAATTTGCCTTCCAAACACAGCTATCTTAAGTAAATGTGGCAAATGTATTAGGCGACTCATAAATTCTTCTTTTTTTCCGTTTCTACTAGAATGAACATGCCTAGTGGCAGGTATTCAGTCATCCTTGACCAAAAAAGAGAGTTCATATGAGCCAGCCACCTTGATGAAACTAAGTAGACCTGAATGATTGTAAATTCTAAAGATTGTACAGATTTGAGATATGGCAGGATCTTTTCTTCAAGTCCTTTTTTCAGATGTTTTTTTTTTTTTTTTTTTGAAATTTGAGAAAGTGCAGACTATATTGATTGTGAATTAAGGGGATGGCAGGATTTCCAAGCCTGATTCTAAGAGCAAGTTATGGTTCTAGCCAAAACTAACATAAGCTACAGCAGTGAAGCAGTTTTTACAAATAGCAAAGGTCAATCTGATTGCCCAGAGTTCAGAAATCTCTTGCAACTCATCAGATTCATACCTGCATCAGTATCTTTTAACTATTCAGCATTTTTATGAAGAAAATGTATCCATATATGTCACTAGGAATTTAAAAAAAAACACCTCAATGACAAGGGTGCTTTTTTAGGAGGCAATTGAACTTTCTTGTTTTTCTTTTGAAGACATTTCGCTTCTCATCCAAGAAACTTCTTCAGCTCTGACAGGATAGTGGAAGATGAGAAGCTAAACGTCTTCAAAAGAAAAACGAGAAAGTCCAGTTGCCTCCTAAAAAGCACCTTTGGGACAACCATGACCTGGATGACTGAGAATCTCTACAGACTTTTAGTCAATGACAGATAATCAACCTATTAATCAATGACATATAATCAATCAAAATGTCTGGTTGGATAGCCTTGGTTTATTATCATGTGACATTAATGGTAAATGTTTGCATATGTATGAATGAGAGCCAAGTTAGAGCCATGGAGAATTTATAGCAATGCACAGAAATAAAACTTTGGGGACTGGGGCTCCCTCTTTTCTTTATAGCAGTTTGTGCAAAACTGGACTGGTGACAGCACTTCTTGGTCTCTTAGTAGCTTTGATTTAGCTAACAATATCTTTGGAGTTAAAATCAGTGATTTGGGAGCATAATTATTTTCAAGTCAAATACTGGTTGCAATACAAGCTAGATCCAACCTTTGATCCTGATTATGAAAGAGCTTCAGCTAATTTCCCCCTAGAAACAGGAATCTGTTCTCTGGACAAGGACACCACATCAGAAAGAGCACAACAAGCTGTATTTGAGTGCCAATATGGCCCTCAAGCTTTATTCCTCTAGGAAAAGGGAGAAGAAGCAAGGGCTTAAAAGATGCAGATGAAATTAACAAGTACATATCCCCAGAAGATGGAGGCCTATTAAATAGTCAGAACAGGCAGAAAGTCTTATTGGGGCAAATCCATGCAATTGTGGGTGGTTGCACAACCACAGCACTCCACAAAATGCATTCTTATCCTACCATCTAGATTTTTCTATATTTTTGACTATAAATCTGCCAGCTCCTTCCTTCCAGATGGCAGGGATGAGCTCTGGACTGTGTGAGCCAAATTGAAACTGTACTTAATCTTTGGAAGGGAAAGGCTTGGTTTTTTTGACTAGAGGGTCAGGGAGAGGGTTTATAGGTAATAAAATAAAAATACTGTTTCCTAGGAATGAGTTTTTTTTTTTTTTAAATGATGATAGTTTCACACAAGAGTGATGGTTGGGGAAAGAGGCAGGTTCCAAACTTGATTAAACTTGCTTCAAGAGTCAGAAATAACATTTTTCTCTTGGGCTTTTATAAGTTTGTCTAAACACTGATTAAATAATTGTTTTCTAGGGGAAAGGTTTTCTCCTCATACAGGTCTCTCTTTTTTGTCTCAGTCAGAGAGCAAAATAACTATACCGTCCTTCCCGAAGGCTGTTGAATGCTTGCTTAATACAGGGCTGAACTCAGAAAGAATAGCTATCCCAATTTAATTTTAATTTCCACCTCTGCTCTGCTCCAAAATACAGAATTGCAAAAGCAAAAGTAATGAGCACCACCAATGGGATGATATAACTAGTTTTAGATTCTTATGAAAGGCCAGAAATAAATCTTTCTGGGAGGTTTTTAAACAAATTGATTCAGAATTACATGTTTGCAGTGCTTATCAAGATGCATCTTTCCCATGAAAAAATAAAAAGAAGGGAATCTTTTAATCTTTTAATATGCAAGATCAGTTTTGAACCTGAAGCTATGGCAGAGAGGTTGGGTCGGTCCTACAGAGTTTCTGTTCTTAGAAGGTACCTATATTGTTTTTTAGAGCCAGAACATGAAGCAATCAAGGACAGGTAGTCCTTGGTGTACAACAGCTCATTTAGTGACTGTTCAAACTTACAATGGCACTGAAAAAAGTGACTTATGACCATTTTCACACTTATGACCATTGCAGCATCCCCATGGTCATGTGATTTACATTTGAATGCTTGACAAGTGGTTCACATTTATGACAGTTGCAGTGTCCCAGAGTTATGTGATCCTCATTTGCGACCTTCTGACGAGTGAAGTCAGTGGGGTTACTAATTTAATAACTGCAGTGAGTCACTTAACAAATGTGGTGAGAAAAGTCATAAAATGGAGCAAAGGTCACTTAACAAATTTCTCATTTAGCCACACGGGTTTTGGGCTTAATTGTGGTTGTAAGTTGAGGACAACCTGTATATTAGAGACTGGGTTGGGTGTTATTACTCCAGCTGTAGCAGAGCTTATGACTCAGGGGCAGGAGATCATAGATAAACTTCCCAGAATTTTCAATTAAAAGGTAAGACTCTAAAATAAACAAGGCCACACTAACTTGTGGTTATTGTCCCGACTCAATGTTGTTCAGACTGTTGGCCTGCCAAATATTATGACGAGAAACTCTTGCTATTTTTGTTGGATCTGATCTCTTATAATGTCTCTATGTGTGAGAGAGGACCAACAGGGAGAAGAATTGATTATGAGGTGACCCAAGATATTCATTGTTTAGACATACTATTAAAAAAAAAAAGCTTAGCATGTACAGCAGAGAACCTTCAGGGATTGACAACATATCTCACAGCCTTTGCTGGGATAGGAAATAACGGAAGCAACTAATAAAACCTATAATGGAGTGTTAAAATTCAGGTTCTTCATAATGAATAGGGCTCTATCCCTTTGTCAAGAGTTGGGAGACCTTGAGTCTTAGTGCTGTCAGTCACTCTCAGCTTCTGAAAAGAGAGAGAGAGAGAGAGAGAGAGAAAGAAAGAAAGAAAGAAAGAAAAAGAAAACCTTGGCACCAGGCGCTGCTTTTGTCTACTTAAAAACAACCAGATCTGCCCCGCCAAGGAAGCTACTCCTGAAACCATCACCAAAAAGCCTACATGTATAGATACTATAAACACTTGACTCCTGGAAGATACGTATCCATCTATCTTCCAGGAGTCAATTATACATATATTTATGTGTATTTGCTACTAATTTTTTAAAAAAGGATTTTGAAGGTAGCAGAGCTTTCTAGAACCCTGAAGAATTACGGCTAAGGAAACTGCAGTTTGGGGCTCATAATGGGTGTTGAAGAAGAAACATTTGATGATCCTAGGTTTTCATGAGTAAACACATATGAAGTGAGACCCAAAGCTTTCCGCTTAAAGGGCAGCGTCAGAACATTGCTTTCTTTCATTGTAACTGCTCTTTAAGAGGCCAGCTGAAAGGTTTGTTGCATCTTCACACCAATACAGCTCTGCGGACCAGGAGAGGAGAAAGAAAATGGGGAGCACAAATAGCTGGATGCAGGCTGGCTCAACGATTAGCTAGAGAGAGAGAGAGAGAGAGATGATTCCTTGTTTGGAAAGAGCAGATAGATCATTATCAGCTATGTAATTGTTGGGAGAGGCACTGACAAAATTTCAGTCTGTTGTGACAGAAAGACAAGGGTGACTTTTGGTTTCACATGTTGTTTTTGAAGAGAGAGAGAGAGAGAGAGAGATTCTGTTTCCCTTCTGCATATAATGGAGGGATGCAGTTATCAACTAATTGAGAGGCACTGAAAACAATAACAATAGCAATAACACTTTAGACGTATATATTGCTCCGCAGTGCTATACAGCACTCTCTGGACAGTCTATAGCAGGGGTCTTCAATCTTGGCAACTTTAAGACTTGTGGACTTCAACTCCCAGAATTCCCAGAAGTCCAAAGTCTTAAAGTTGCCAAGGTTGGAGACCCCTGGTCTATAGGGTCAGCCTATTGCCCCCAACAATCTGGCTTCTCATTTTACCGACCTCAGAAGGATGGAAGGCTGAGTCAGGACTGAATTCCTGGCTGTGGGGAGTTTTTAGCCTGCAATGCTACATTCTAACCATGGTGCCACCACAGCTCAGCTAACCTTGTTTTTGAAACAAGCAAAAGGTTTGCTGAGACAGCAATGGTTTTCCATTTTTTGTTTTTCCATCTTGAGACTGGGAGGCAAGCACATCATTCGTTATGCAAGGGAAAGGCATTGGTGATGGTACTGCCACAAGGAGATGTTTGAGAAAAGCATTGGAGGACAATCCTGCTTTTGGTAGGGATAAAAAAGGGGAACCAACCATTGAAACATTGGGGAGGACAGGTTGCTGTTTAAAAGGATTTTTTTTTTTTTGAGGCTGTTAATCTCTTTTCTGTTCTTCCTAGTTGATGAGCAGCCACAGGGTTTCTGCTGTGTGCTGTTGCCATCGCTGGTGCTCCTGGAGTGTACGGAGGGAAGATGGCATTCTGGACGCAGCTGGGTTTGCTACTATGGAAGAATTTCACTTATAGGAGAAGGCAAACGGTAAGATCACACCATTGCTTTGTTCTGACAAAAGAGCCAACTCTTGTGTTTTAAGAATTCCATAACTGAGCCTGCTCAGGCAATCCTATTTCACTCCATAAATACACCATTTGGACACAAGTATGTAAGACTCCCATTGATCTGGTTATATTTTTATGATGTGAATTAGAGGGTTTATACAGAGGTTCTTCAAAGAAATAAATGGTGTGTTGGAGGTTAAGTATGAGACAAGAAGTTATCTTTTAGTTTCAGTAAAAGCAGATAGGAGGCAAGCGGGGTGGGGCACGGAGAAACTAGACTTGTTCTTAGTTCAACATCTAGAAAAACTGTTTTAATAGTTCAGCTGTAGGAATCATTTTTGCTCTGATCAGTCTAGCAAAAGAAAAGGTAAGCTCAAAAGTTTGCCTTTTCTCCATGAATGCTTTAGAGTAAAAATGGAGGCATAGTCACAAGTCACAATAGCAAAGGCACTTAGACCACTCCATAATGCTTTACAGCCATCTCTAAATGGTTTACAGAGCCAGCATATTGCCCCCAACAATCTGGGTCCTCGTTTTACTGACATCAGAAGGATGGAAGGCTGAGTTAATCTTGAGCCAGTCAGGAACAAACTCCAGGCTGTGGGCAGAGTTAGCCTGCAATACTGTATTCTAACCATGGCTCAAGTAGTACAATAGATGTGCCATACTGCTTAGTCTACACATTGTGAAACCTGTATATGCTAAGCCTGGAAAAAGCAGAGGAATTATTACATCAACAACCCCAATCTGCTGCTTTGTGTTAATTACAACTTTCTGAATTCCAGTGCTTGAGTTGGTTAGAAATTATGGTGCAAAGTATAGATATGGAGGACATTAGAACGAGGATGTCTGGCTTAAGCAGGTTATGTCTTTATTACAGCAATTCTAGCAGTAATTTAAACTGGGGTATTCAAGGCCTTCCATTGCTGTGGCTTAAGAGAGAGAGAAGCTGAATAAAACTTGCACTGAAACTACTTTAGATTTCAATAAGCTAGTACTGCTTGGAAAACAGAGTGGACTTAATAGAGTAAATACTTAACACAACCTCTTTGGTACTCTTCAGAATAGCACAGGAAGTCTTCCAATGCAAATCTGAATAGCGTTATTGACAGGAACATAGCTAGATCAAAGCTATTATCCACACTTAGTTGTTCTTGAGTCTTTTCTGACAGGTCCTTTCTGATTAGTTTCCTCAGGCTCTTATGAGACTGGACATGAAAATAACGATGGTGCTATTGTGCTCTTTAATTTCCCATTTACAGTGTGCATAGTTGGACACTGTGCAGACCTAAGAATTTCATAGTGATGTACTTGACAATTTTATCCCATAGGCTCTCTTAGTTAACAGTGGCTTCTTGGACTATGTTATGAGGAAAGATTTTTAGCTCTGGGAACTAAAGTCCTTCTGGCGATCTTACGTAATAGCATCCATTCCAGACCACATACTAACAGTCAGAAAGAGGAGCCAGATACAGGTTAAGACATACAAAGCCAACCTACGAGGCAGCCTTTATTTGAATCTTATGAAAGTTCAACCATAGCAAATGAGATGAAAAGAACTTAAAAACTGACTCTCTTAGTAGTCAAATCACCACAAGAATTGCAAGACAGGCAATGATCCAAATAGATCATATCCATAATTTAATTTCTCATTGCTTTTCAACTCATTTACAGTAGTATTATTCAGCATGGCAAAGGAGAAACTTTCTCTCTTGCTTTTCTTATACATATTTTAGAGTGAATCAAACACTCTACTGTGTGAATGCAACATACTTGAGTTCTTTTGTTTTAATGTGTTTAGGTGCCTGTCAGAAATTGGGCAATATTGGGGGTACATAATATACAACCTTTCAAACACAGTTTTTATTTTGTGATTTTTGTCATTGTTTCTGATTATTCTCTTGCATCAAATTTGTTTTTACATGTTGGATTTATATTTTAGTTATTCTAATTATTTATGTTTATTATTTATTTGTATCCCACTTTTATTATTTTATAAATAACTCAAGGCAGCACATACCTTCCCCCTATTTTTTTCCACAATGACAGCCCAGTGTGGTGGGTTGAGCTGAGAGAGAAAGAGAAAGTGGCCCAAAGTCACCCATCTGGTTGTCATGGCTACGGTGGGAGTTGAACTCACAATTTGCCACTTTCTAGCCTGGTGCCTCAACCACTAGACCAAACTGCCAAAGGCCAGTTTGGTCTAGTTTGGATGGAAGGATAATACATTCATTAAGCTTCCCAAACCTGGTGCACTCCAGCTTTTAGGATTCTATTTTACCATCACCTCAAAAAACATATGTTGCATATGATGGATACTGTACAGTAGTCCAACATAGCTGGAGGGGCATAATGCTGGTAGGTCCTTGGATTAAGTCCACCATAGGTCTTTTGTCTCTGCTTCTTATTTTGCTAACAAGAGCACAAATAATTTGAACTGTCAATTGCAAAGTGAGCCAAGATTTTAGGGATTGTGGGTATCTGCAGTAAGAAGGATAGGTCAAATGACAAAGCAGGTGTCACCATGTCATGGTGAAAACTATGCGGCTTGCATATTTGGGTGCAGCACTGGAATTCAAATATTAGAGGCCGGCTGACCTGACATTATCTTTACCCTATTGTGGTTTATGCCAATTGCTTATGTAAGGGATGTAGCATTTGGTATATAATATAATGAATGAAGGATGTCACAGCCTCCAAAACCCAGTGGGGCCACTAATTAATTAAAAAAAAACTATTAGGAAGATGAAGGCTTAAGGAAAATTCACCTACGTTACCCCCTTCATTCTGCCCTGCAAACGTATATGTGGATGGCCTCCACCTGTAATGTATTTGCTGAAGGTTGGAGTCAGCAGTTTTGCCCATGGCTTTAATCCATCAAAAACCTCTCTGAAGATAGATGGTAGTCCGTACTTTGCTACTTAAGCTTCCCACAACTGTCATCAGCTTCTTAGAGAGCTCTCCAGTTTTGAATGGATAAATGAGTAAGAAACGATGTTGGATTACAGAAGGGCACACTGTATATAGGCCTATTTGCTTAATGTTTCTGAAGCTGCTTTCTCCCCGGAGGTTTGGCCAGAACCTAATTGGTCCTGGATGCCTTCCAGCAGTGCGGATGTAACTCTTGAGTTGCACACGTCAAGCTAAGCTGTGCCTTTCATACTGCTTCTTTCGGCCACCATAGTTTGGGGAGGTGATGGAAGGAAATGCAGGCCAAGCTGTTTACTGGAGAGGTTCGGATGGGAAAATCATTTTCAAACATCTCTTTTTAATAAGAGATTTGTATCAAATTGCTGCATTGGTGGTTGATTTTGCAATAATAATAAGAGATTTATTAACATTCTATTAAATATTATGTTAAACAGAATATTGGAATGTGGAGTACCCTTTATTTAGGATATCAGCTGCTCCAATTTTCTTTCCTTTACTCTCTTCTGGCCTCTTTCTTTTCCCATCTTAATTTCAAATACCGTTGTCTCTAAACATGTTTATTTTTATTGACTAGTTTTGGAGAATTCTGCTTCCCCTGTTCTGTAGTTTTTATGTTGTTTCATCTCATTGGGGTTTCTTTTAATAAGGCTACAAAACATCTCAATGCTAACAGTGTAAGATTTTTCTATACTCTTTTTTAGCACAGTAGTTTGGGTGGGTGCTGTCATGAATTTGGATCTGGATACGGGCCCAACATCTGAAGATATTTTGAGAAGAATTTTCTCAATTTGATTACAGATTGGCCTATTTGTTCATTGTTAATTTGCCTTGTAAGTTAGTACAGTACCACTTGTGGGAGTGAAGACTGCTCATCCCCAGTTGTGAAAGATTAGCGTTAGGTTCCACGATTTCTACATCGTTTGACTTCAGGATATGTTATTGGTGGTAAAAGAAGGCGGAGTCTCCTCACTGACAGACCGTAGATCGTGACTCTCTGTGGCTATGGTCCATGCTCTTTCGTTGGATAGCCCCGATCATAATGATTAGGGGCTGAAGCTGCCTTGGAGGGGCGGCGGAGTAAGGGAAAGCCGCAAGCCAGGTTGAGGGGAGCCGCATCCCCCCCCCGGGCTTGGTCTTTTCCCCCCCGAAGACGACTGCAGCGGTGGTTTAAAACGGCCACCCCGAAGAGGAGGACTCAGCTGGATTAAGATTTGTGCAGGAGGGAAGAAAGAGGTGGATAACATCTGAACCGGGACAATTGGGCGATACAACTAAACAAAAGTACCCCGGGATTAAGGTAACATGGAATTTTTAAGAAAAGAAAAGTGAGCGGTGAAAGGGACAGGAAAAAAAAAAAGAAAATATTTTTGACAGCTAAGCGGGGCTTCGAACCAGGAAAGGAAGAAGCCGGAACTAAAGATTTAACTAAATTGGACTAAAATATTTTGGCAATAAACAGGCATAAAATAAAGCTGGACTTAAGCTTGTCAAAAATAATAATAATAAAGTTTACAAATTGGAAACTGGACTGTGCTGGAATATTGAGGTTCGAAAAACCCTAAATAAAAAAATAGGGGAAAAAGGTGAAGACTTTGTATAATGGAGAGTGCCACCTTTTGACAAAAACTTGAGCTCAAACAAAAAGGAAAACATCCTGTTTCTGAATGAACTTGTGTGGATATGACATTAAAGAAATATTGAAACAAAGTAAGAATCTTAGAAAGTGAAAGCAGAACCAGAATAAAAAAAAAAGCAAGGAAAGACTGACTGTGGGATTGATTGATGTTTTTGGTATAGACCCTGGGCTGGAACAATTGAGAACTTTAGAAAATTGAAAGAAGAAAGAAGGAAAGTAAAAGTGGTTTTTTTGTGGACTTTAACGATCATAAAATATAAGAGTGTGTAATAATGATATCTCTTCGGGAATTAAAAATGGAACTTAAAAATATGAGAGAATTACTACAGGAAAGAGGCGAATCATTTTGCTCTGTGTTAGAAAAAATGGAAATGGTGATTGAAGAACAAGAAGAAAGAGCTTCAGAGGAGGAGGAGTCGACTCAAGGAGAAGACATTTTAAATAAACAATTAACACAAAGAACACTACAAAGAAGTGGGGAAAGAAGGAAGGTTAAAAAGTTGAGATTTAAGAAGGCAATCAAAAGGGGGAATACCTGTGAAGTCGGGAAAGGCAGAAAGACCCAACAGAAAAGGGGCAAAGAAGATATTAAGAAAGAGAGGGATATAAACTGGAATGAGAAAAGATATGGGGGAAAGAGGGGGAGGAGAAGCAGTAAGAAATGGGTGCATGAAATAAAGAAATACGGAAATAGTAAAATGTTGAAAAGAAATTGGTTTTTCAGAGATAATGGTTGATGAATTAAAAAGGGGATTCTGCAGGGTGACAAGGGGTAATAAGAATATTTCTGCAATTAAAAATATTTAGAAAAGAGGGTAATATAGATACTGATAACTCTTATTAAAAATTAAGGGGGGAAAATATGCTGTGGAATCCAAATGAAAAGATGTAATGATTATTATTGTAACTTCTTAAAAATAATGGTTTATTGGGAATCAAGATGAGGGAATAAAGGTATATTTTAATCATTGAGGTGTCACACTCAAAGCAGTAAAAGGGAAACCTATACTTTTTTTTTTTTTAGTGTTAAAATTTGTATTAATCTAGAATTTATAAAAAGAATGTGTAATGGAAAGGGAATATGACAGACTAAAGAACCAACTAAATTAATAAGGTAATATAGACTATTAAAAGCAAGGAGAGACATTGATAACCTTTTTTATTATTATTATTATTATTAAGCAAACACACATTGTTTATCTTTATTTTTAAAATAAATATTAAAGGATTATATTTGAAATAATTGAAATGAAACAAAAAGATGTTTCGATTGAGATTAATGAAAGAGGCTAGAATTAATGTGTTTGTTTCTTTCCTTACTGAAAATTTGGAATGGAAAAGGTAATAATAGAATTAAGTATGCATATATGAATGTATAATTGCTGTCATATTTGTATGTAAAGGTGATGACCCGGAAATATGTTGTCCACTAAAAAGAGATTTTTGTTTTTAATGTGAAAAACTGAATAAAATTTGTTTTTTTTTTTTAAAGGATAAGTTATTGGCAAAGGATTTTGCACCAATGAATGTAATGTTTCAGGATGAGATTTGTTTACAGTTTAGGTTTTGCTGACTTACTGTAACATCCTCAGCACTTGGACCTATATTAAATGTCAATTATCTAATTTTAGGTCCTCATGTTCATGCTCTACAGAGACATTGAACAACATAGTTCTTCTACCAGCATGCCCACCATGGTTAGTCAGTATGTGTGGCTGAGCTTATGAAGAATTTACTTTGCATGAAAATAGTTGATTTAACATTCTGAATCTTTGACATCCGAAGAAAACATTTTCTGAAGGAAAAACATCAGAAATTACATAAGTAGGTAGAGGGATTGTGGAAGGGCTGCTGCAAAAGTTTCCTCTGGTGGATTTATATATACTTTTTCCATTTGGAATAATCATTTGGCATATACAAGAAATCAGATACGCATACATTCCATTATGTCACATGGAGAGGATTGACATTCCAAGGGTTCGTTAATACATTTGACTCACAGCCTGGATAATTTAAATGCCCGTATTGTTGCAAGGAAACTGAGTCTAGACCAGCCAGGCCTAGCCTGATCATTTTGAGATAGCTAGATTACAACTATAATAACTGACTATTCTTCCCAGAATGATAGCTAAGGTTTTGTGTGTATATGTTATAAATACATATAAATATATGCATATTTATAAAGGAATCCAAAATTATTTTTGAAAATACTCTAGCCTGCACAAATGGAGAAAAATGTTTGCAAAGAAGAGCCTGAAAAATAACAGGTATTGAAAACTGCTTACAGAAGATCAGTCACTATTCAGAGTTGAAAACAAAATAGCACATGCTGGCTATTTGATTTTTCTTTATATAATAAATGCATCAGGAAACAAAAATCCCCTGACATTTGGGAAACTTATGAAAAAGAAAGGATGCCTTGAGAAAATTTACATAAGGTGTAACGGGAAATTGCATATGAAAGTTCAACTTAAGAGGGAAATGGCTAATGGATATGGGCTGCAAACAAACCTTCCTCCATCTCATCCCATTTCTTGCTTAGTGGACAGGAAATGCTTTAAAATGGCTGCTTCATGAATTAATATAGGTAGTCCTTGACTTACAACAGTAAATTTACTTACAACATTTCATTTAGTGACTGTTCAAAGTTGCAATGGCACTGAAAAAAGTGGCTTATGACCATTTTTCATACGACCATTGCAGGGTCACATGTTCAAAATTTAGATGCTTGGCAACTGATTCATATTTATGACCATTACAATGTCCTGGGCTCATGTGATCTCCTTTTGTGACCTTCTGACAAGCAAAGTCAATGGGGAATCAGATTCACTTAACAAACGTGTTACTAACTTAACAATTACAACGATTCACTTAACAACAAATTCACTTAACAATATCTTCATTAATGACTTAGATGAGGGACTAGAAGGGAAACTTACCGTACCAAATTTGCAGATGATACTAAGCTGGCAGGAATAGCTAATACCCAAGAAGATAGGCTCAAGATCGAGATGGATCTTGAAAGACTAGAACACTGGGCTGTATCTAACAAAATGAAATTCAACGTAGAGAAAAGTAAAGTCCACGTAGGCAAGAAAAACCAAAAGTACACATATAGACTGGGTGAAACCAGGCTCAATAGCAGTAACTGTGAGAGGGATCTTGGAGTCTTAGTGGACAACCAGCTAAATATGAGCCAGCAGTGTGCAGCAGCAGCCAAAAAAGCTAATGCAATCCTAAGTTGTATTAACAGAGGGATACAATCAAGATCAAGGGAAGTACTAATACCACCCTATAAAGCCTTAGTAAGAGCACACTTAGAGTACTGCATTCAGTTTTGTTCACCACAGTATAAAAAAGATGTTGAGACTCAGGAAAGAGTACAGAGAAGAGCAACCAGGATGATTAGGGGACTGGAGGCTAAAACATACAACGAACAGTTGCAAGAACTGGGCTTGGCTAGTCTAGTGAAGAGAAGGACCAGGGGAGACATGATAGCAGTCTTCCAATATTTGAGGGGCTGTCACAGGGAGGAAGGGGTCAAGCTATTTTCTAAAGCACCTGTAGGCCAGACAACGAATAATGAATGGAAACTGAACAAGGAGAGATTTAACCTGGAAATAAGGAGAAACTTTCTGACAGTGAGAACAATCAACCAATAAAACAGCTTGCCCTCGGAAGTTGTGGGAGCGCCATCACTTGAGACTTTCAAGAAGAGATTGGACTGTCATTTGTCAGAAATGGTGTAGGGTCTCCCGCTTGGGTGGAGGGCTGGACTAGATGACCTACAAGGTCCCTTCCAACTGTGATGATCTGTTATCTGTTAACAGTGGCAAGAAAAGTCATAAAATGGGGCAAAACTCACTGAAATGTTAGTAACTTAGTAATGTAAATTTTGGGCTCAATTGTGGTCGTTAAATTGAGGACTACCTGTAGTCCAATTGATCCAAGGGCATCAGGAAGGCATCAAATTGGGAAAAGCTAAACCAAAGAGCAACATTTTGTTCACAGAAGTTACCAAAAAAAATAATATTACTTATTGTCTACTTTCATTTTCATTTCCTTCTTCATACCAACGATGTTTAGTAATTTGCTGTTTCTCCTCTTCTCTTCCAGGTCCAATTATTGATTGAAATCACTTGGCCATTGTTTATCTTCTTTATTCTGATGTCTGTGAGATTGTCTTATCCACCTTATGAACAACATGAATGTAAGTTTTAAAAAATGCCTGAGTTCTTGGGCTCAGGAGAAGTAAAAAAGTGAGAGGCAGACTGCATAGGGAGTCAACTATTACTGGCCTAGAAACATGAAAAAGATTTGGGCCATCAGAGTGGTCTATACTTGATCTTCAGCTAGAAAGGATGGTTCTTCAGTTTTGCATATGGCTATAGCAGCTGAAAACCAAGTTTTTATTGCAATTTGCTTTTGTTGTCAACAAATGCCATTGCTAAAGTAGGGATTTGCCTCTGGCTTGACCACTATCAAGAATATAAAAACTCTTGCTAACATAACCCTGAAGGTTTCTTTATAGCCCTGTGCTTAGTAGTACAATCCTAACCCTACGATGATTCCTTACAGGAGTGATTCTCAAACATTTTGGTCTCAGGGTCTCTTTACATTGTTATAAAACAAAAATTGAAGATTTCAAAGAGCTCTGGTTTTTATGGGTTATATCCATCAATAATTACTACATTAGAAATGAAAACTGAGAAGCTTTAAAATATTTGTCTTTGCAGACTCCCTTAAAGGGTCTCAGAGATTCCCAGGAGTCTCCAGACCACACTTTGTGAACCACTGCTTTAAAGTGATTTCACATATTATTTAAACGATGGAGCTGTGTTGTTACCTGTAGCTATTTTGATGGATGTTTTTATTAATGAAAACGGTTGGCAAATAGCAAATAAATCTTACATAACAGAGAAATCCTAGACATAGAACAATGTGGAATGTTTAATTACCCTTCTTAAACTCTTGCATATACATACTCTGAAGTAAAACTAATTGACTTCAACAGGATTTATTCCCTACATTGATGGCCAGCTTCACATAATTTGTGAAACACAGAAACTTGCTCAATATGGTCCTAGTCAGCTCTACTGAAACAGAATTTCCTTTTTCAAAATATAGCAACCCTGAGGTATATTTCTCTGTAATAATTCAAACTTGCTGGTTATAGAGAAGGGATTTCAACAGAGATAACTAGGCCTGATGAAATCTCTCTTGCATAACTTTTAATATTGATAATAGTAAGTCAATGAAGATGTCCAACTGAAGCCAGAAAAAACCTAAGTTGAATTTCATCCTTGACCATGAAAACTCACTGTCAATCAAATCTGTCTTTATGGTCATAGACCAGCATAAGGAGGACGGAATACAAACAATTGGTAATTTTAAAAGCTAAACAAAATAATCAGTGTTTTTATCACTTTGTATACACTTGTGTTTTATTTTTTGTGATAGATAGATAGATAGATAGATAGATAGATAGATAGATAGATAGACAGACACTGCTCAAAAAAATAAAGGGAACACAAAAATAAGACATCCTAGATCTGAATGAATGAAATATTCTTATTAAATACTTTGTTCATTACATAGTTGAATGTGCTGACAACAAAATCACACAAAAATTATCAATGGAAATCAAATTTAGCAACCCATGGAGGTCTGGATTTGGAGTTACACTCAAAATTAAAGTGGAAAAAAACACTACAGGCTGATCCAACTTTGATGGAATGTCCTTAAAACAAGTCAAAATGAGGCTCAGTAGTGTGTGTGGCCTCCATGTGCCTGTATGACTTCCCTACAATGCCTGGGCATGCTCCTGATGAGGTGGTGGATGGTCTCCTGAGGGATCTTCTCCCACACCTGGACTAAAGCATCCCCCAACTCCTGGACAGTCTGTGGTGCAACGTGGCGTTGGTGGATGGAGCGAGACATGATGTCCCAGATGTGCTCAATTGGATTCAAGTCTGGGGAATGGGCGGGCCAGTCCATAGCATCAATGCAGGAACTGCTGACACACTCCAGCCACATGAGGTCTAGCATTGTCTTGCATTAGGAGGAACCCAGGACCAACCGCACCAGCATATGGTCTCACAAGGAGTCTGAGGATCTCATCTCGGTACCTAATGGCAGTCAGGCTACCTCTGGCGAGCACATGGAGGGCTGTGTGCCCCCCTAAAGAAATGCCACCCCACACCATTACTGACCCACTTGCCAAACCAGTCATGCTGGAGGATGCTGCAGGCAGCAGAACGTTCTCCACGGCGTCTCCAGACCCTGTCACGTCTGTCACATGTGCTCAGTGTGAACCTGCTTTTATCTGTGAAGAGCACAGGGCGCCAGTGGTGAATTTGCCAATCTTGGTGTTTTCTGGCAAATGCCAAACATCCTGCACGGTGTTGGGCTGTAAGCACAACCCCCACCTGTGGACCTCGGGCCCTCATAGCACCCTCATGGAGTCTGTTTCTGACTGTTTGAGCAGCCACATGCACATTTGTGGCCCGCTGGAGGTCATTTTTCAGGGCTCTGGCAGTGCTCCTCCTGTCCCTCCTTGCACAAAGGCGGAGGTAGAGGTCCTGATGCTGGGTTGTTGCCCTCCTACGGTCTCCTCCACGTCTCCTGATGTACTGGCCTGTCTCCTGGTAGCGCCTCCATGCTCTGGACACTACGCTGACAGACACAACAAACCTTCTTACCACAGCTTACATTGATGTGCCATCCTGGATGAGCTGCACTACCTGAGCCACTTGTGTGGGTTGTAGACTCCGTTTCATGCGACCACTAGAGTGAAAGCACCGCCAGCATTCAAAAGTGACCAAACCATCAGCCAGAAAGCATAGGAACTGAGAAGTGGTCTGTGGTCACCACCTGCAGAACCACTCCTTTATTGGGGATGTCTTGCTAACTGCCTATGCTTTCCACCTGTTGTCTATTCCATTCTCACAACAGCATATGCAATTGATTGTCAATCAGTGTTGCTACCTAAGTGGACAGTTTGATTTCACAGAAGTGTGATTGACTTGGAGTTACATTGTGTTGTTTAAGTGTTCCCTTTATTTTTTTTGAGCAGTGTAGATATAGATATATAGAGATAGAGATAGATATCTATATCTATATATCTATATATCTATATATCTATATCTATATCTATATATCTATATCTATCTATCTATCTATCTATCTATCTATCTATCTATCTATCTAT